CTTGATATTATGATGTTTTGCGATACAGATAGAATTTGTATTTGTTAAACCAATCATCAAAAGTTATAATAGGACATCCAAGTTATCACTGTCCCACTCGGGGAGATTGGTTTCGCAGCAAACATTCAATCAATCAATCAATGTTTATTTCTATAGCACAGTTCATACAGAATGCAACCCAAAGTGCTTCACATCGGCAACATTTAAAAGCAATTTAAAAACAATTTAAAAACAGACTGTAAAAACAAATACAAAAGACAGTTTAAAGGACAACTCACCCTCAAATCCACTTTTTTTTTGCTGATAAACGGTATAAATGAGTGTCCAATAGTGTTGTCTACATATCCTGGTCATAATCTTGTCACTTTGGTGCAAATTAGTTGAAAGTTAGACTTTCTGCCTAAAACCGTCTGTGAGGCGCCATCTGCTGGCGACCTGTATTACTACATTTGAATTTTGAATCTGGCGCCAACACTGGCACAGAAGTTGGACCTGACGTCAGCAGCCCCCCGCCCAGAGCAATGTAAATGGCCCAGTCTCGTTCACGCCTCCTTTAGTCCTCCAGGCCACGCCCATTTAGAGGAAGATTTGAACAGGAAATGTGAGTAACGTAAGCTCCGAGGAGCGGGGGTGAGAACCACTTTAAGAAAATGAATAAATATATACATCAAAAATAAATTTATGATCCGATTTCTTGAGGATCAGTCGTAGGCACGGCTGAAAAGAACCGTTTTCAGCCTGGACTTGAACATAGCTAAAGAAGGAGCCTGTCTCACACCTTCGGGAAGACTGTTCCAGATTCTAGGTGCATAGGTCTGGAACGCTGCCTCCCCATGTCTAGTCCCGACTCTGGGCACCAACAGGAGCCAATATATACCAACAACATTCATCTAAACAACAAGCAGACACAAGACAAGAGAGGACGTCACGAAGCTAGTTTCAATTCTGTGAAGTGCAAAAGTACATGCGTGTATTGTAAAAGCAGCAGAGGACCAGTTGGAGTTTATGGTTCCACTTCTACATAGTCACGCCCTGGCAACCTCCATCCCCTCCCCCCATGTGCCACCAACGCTTTCTCTGGTCACAACGAAGGACATATTTGCACGTGGAGTGTGGTGCACTTCAGAGCGGCTCCAGAACATATGGACGATCACTGTTTCATGAGACACGTATAATTACCAGCAAGATTTCTACAGGTTATAGAAGAGGTCGTCAAAAGTGAGATGAAATTGAAAATGAAATTGATACAACTATAAATGAAATGATGTCGGAGAGCCAGGTTTAGTGCAATCGAATGGAGATCAGAATATTAATGACCACAATTAGCAAATCATATTCAAGCAGCACTATTTCCTCTATGACTTTTATTAATATGAAAAGCGGCTTGACCTGAAAGTTTTATTTTGAATGTATGTATTAGTTTGAAGTATGCTGATTTTGGCCTCATGGATATAGGGATAGTAATAGGGATCCTAAGTTGTTGAACGCATTAAAACATATTTATAAAGTATTGGAGGCAGAACATCACCTGCTCAACTCCATGAATTGAGTTGACTTGCTTTGAAAATGTGTTTCTTAAATGTTTGAACAGATGTCATAAAATACTGACATGGTGTGGCTTTAAACAGACGATGAAGAATATTGCTTTACCCAATAAGATTAGTTTAATACAATAGACATTTCTGAAGATGCATATATCAATCAATCATTGTTTTGTATAGGACAATTCGTGTACGCTGAGATATGAGAAATTGTAAAATACAGATCAAAATGCATTAAAAAGTCAATAAAAATACAATAATTTCATAATAGAATAGAGCAGCATAAAAGTATGGGTTTTAAAACACGGTAAAAAGCAGGTTTAAAAAGGGCAATAAGCAAATAAATGTTTTGAGCCTAGGACTAAAAACCTGCCACTGTTTCTTTTATTGCCACTTTTTAATTGTACATAATAAATCCTGAACAGACTATATGTATTTTTTGCCTTTAGCATGTTTGCACACTTCTGTCTTTTGCACAAATCTTGAGTGATTCTATCCGTGCCAAATGTGACGTGTAAATCTCTTATTTTTGAACTTTGTCAGGGTAGAGGCCTGTCTCACAACCCCAGGAAGAGCGTTCCATATCCCAGCTGCATAAATCTGAAATGCTGCCTCCCCATGTCCCGTCTCTGGGCACCAGCAGGAGGCCAGTCCCAGTGCTTCTCAGAGTCCGAACGGGTTTACTGCCAACCAGAGCAGCGCCATACAGATCTAAATCCTGATAATCATTAAATATCCTGTGTAATTCTGCGTACACCAGTATGTTGTCCATCGAGCTACATCTCCACACTTTTTAATCCTCGTCTCTAAAGGTAAAGGGTCCAAAAGCATTGACCTTTCTGGCTGAACGCGCCACAATTGATAGTCAAAGGATCGAGTGAGTTAGGATGTGCAAGGGCATTTGGAGTATAGGCAGCGTGTGTGAGTGGGGTAATGAAGTCAATGGGGCGCGAGTAATGCCCATCACCCGCACAGACACCTCCTCCCACCAGCTGCAGCACCCATGGGCACCAGGGCACTCCGGCACGGCTATTCAAGGACGATTAGCCGTCTCTGCTCCATGGAGATCTTATTTACGGTCACTCTTTGTCCCAAAATGGCCAATAGCTATGTTGTGCTAGCCTTTTGTTTACAGAGTTTGCTGGATCTTCTTCCACTGAGGAGAAGGAAGATACAAATCAAATTCACAAGTAGCACCGTGGAGCACATCTGATCAGAACCAAAAGCAACGATAGGATATTGTTGACATTGATAATTCTATGTCAATGTCATGTTTTTTATGCATACATTTTTCATCTGCTAGGGCGACAGTAGCTCAGTTGGTAGAGCCTGAAGGTCGTGGGCTCGAGTCCACCTCAAGACCTTCTCCACCCACTCCCACTGATGTCTGCTGTCGTTGTGTCCTTGGCAAGACACTTAACCTCTGGGAACACCTGATGCCACAGTGGGGCGGCTGCGGCTGTAAAGTGCCAAACTGTTGTTGTGTCCTTAGGCAAGACACTTCCCCCCCACATTAGAATGATCCTAGTGTGTGTGTGAATGGTTGGTGGTGGTGGGAGGGGCCAATGACACAGCCTCTGCAAGGGCAATTAAAGCATTTGGGAAACTAGATTTTAGTTTCATATGGGGACTAATGTCACAGATGTACTTTGGTACAAGGCCATGAGATACTTGCACTTAAGGATAAAAAGAGACTCCAGCTCATGTCCCGTAATCTCCACTGGTAAAGTCTGACACAAACATGATGTATCTTCAAACCTCGTTCATCGATAAATAGACATTTCCAACCTTCTCCCTCCAATTGTTCTCAACATCAGTCGCTTTGGCCACAACTGACAAAAGTTTGTGTCACATATGATTTTGGGCTTCAAAAGCTGTGGTTTAGCAGTGTCTGTGAATCTGGCATGTTGAAATTGTCTAAATTTGAATATGAGCCATAATGATCAATCAAATGCCTCAATTTGTGGGGGAAACGCTAGCTTAACTTAGCATGTCAATACCAATTTTTATCATGGTATTATAACTTATTGCTAACTTTCCTACACCTAACTTAAAACTCCAGGGTGCCACCAAAGATGTATACAATTAAAATCCAATATCCACTAGAGACAAACTGCCACGCACAATTCAACTATATTTGTTAGCTATAAACTCACACACTCACATAATGCAATACATAAAAGAACAGGACAAAACAATAACAAGATCGGCCTCTGACAGGATATCTGGCTCAGACACATGTGCTGAGTCTGACCACGGTTATGTCAGCTGTACAACACTACAACTCCCACAATGCCCTGCAGCGCACTCTCTGCCGTAGTCTAAATACAACATGTCAAAATCTGACATCCAACAGCATCAGGAGAGCCCTCACCCACCTGCCACCCACCTGCCCGCCTGCCTGCCTGTCTGCTGGATGATGCATGACTCTGTATGTTTTCCAAGGCAGTGGCAGAGTGGTCGTCTCTCGGGGGCTTATTACGGCGTCTGGTCTTGCACTTTATAAGAGGAGAATGCAATCATGTAAACTTCTCCCTTTGGGTTTGAACACTGCCACAACAGAACAATAGTTGCATGTGCTGTTGACCGTGAGGGATCGCGGTTATGGTGGATTTAACACATAAAATACATCCAGAATGAGCAATGAGACGGAGCCACTTCAAGATTGTAATGGACCAAACATAAGGACAACAGGTGTAAAATCACCTGTTGTCATCAAATTTAATTCAGGAAAAATATATAATTTGACAAAAAATATAAACTTTTTTACATATATTTGTGGCCAACTAGAGTAGACAACCTAACCAAACCAGATAAACTAAAAGAAGAACCCCCCACCAAGAACTAAGGGCTTAAATACAGGTGGATTAACCCAAATTACCACCAGAGGGGGAAATGCTAAACTGAGATAAATGATAATGTGAAGCAGAGTATCTCCCCCCCCTGATTCTTGGGACCAGTGGACTCTTCCGCCTCCAGCCCTTCACTCTTGTCCTTTCCTCTGCTGTAGAGGCTGAAGAATCCACCACAAAGATCCCTGAGCTCTTTTCTTTCCAGAACAGAAAAGATGTGACAGGGCACACTAAGTTTTAAGTTAACCCTTGTGTAGTGTTCATATTGTTGTTACTCAGCCAGTGTTCGTGGGTCTAATGGACCCGTTGCATTGTGTGGCTTTTAATGCCTCACAATCACACATTTATATTAAAATACTTAACAGATGTTTTGATCTCTGGTTTGTGATGTCCCTGGTCACACATTCTTCCATCCTCGTTCTGTGACTCATGAGTACCACATTCTTGCCTTTCTTTGGCACATAGGATTTTGTGAATTTTGTGAAAATTGAAACAATGAAGATTTTTTGAGAAACCTACAACAAAATTAATATAAACACAAGTCAAGTATTTCACTGAGTTTTGGACCTGCAACACATGACCGGACTCCAGTTTTTAGATTGTGGGCCTATTTTACAATGTTCACGGTTATGAAAAAGTACAAGGAGATCTGGCCCCGGCGTGACCACAGCTGGTGTCTGTGGGGGCGGGGGTCACGGGGTCCTCTCTGTCCCACCCCGTCTGATTGAGTGAGCTCCGGCTGCAGTCCCGAGTCGACTCCCTCTGGCCCGCTGTGTCTGGTTAATAAGTCCGAGCATCAAACGCCTCAAAGCAGAGTATTTTCTCCCAAAAGTTATTCACTCACAGCTCCGAGCTCTGGAGGTGGCTTCGAAAGTTTGCACAGAGACATTTTTACAAACGTTGGTCGGCACGGTGGCTGAGTGGTTAGCAATCTCGCTTTTCAGCAAGAACAGGGCCTTTCTGAGTGGAGTTTGCAGGTTCCCTCCAGGTGCTCCGGTTTCCCCTACCACTAAAAACATGTACAATAGGTCTGTGCCTCCTGTACTGGCCCCGCTCCCATCTCTGTGTGGACTGAGAGACTAATGCCCACAATTGTAAACCGCTTTGACTCTGGTCTGTGAAAGGCTCTATATAAAATAAATATTACTTACTTATTCACAAAGACTGTGTTTTCAGACGTGTGTTTTCAACAGAGATTTTCAGACCGGTGTTGAAAGGTTGATTAAAGAGAAGGCTTCTGCAGTCATGTCACAGCCGCTCACACCACATTGGTACCTGTGCTCAGTCATGTCACAGCCGCTCACACCACATTGGTACCTGTGCTCGGTCATGTCACAGCCGCTCACACCACATTGGTACCTGTGCTCAGTCATGTCACAGCCGCTCACACCACATTGGTACCTGTGCTCGGTCATGTCACAGCCGCTCACACCACATTGGTACCTGTGCTCAGTCATGTCACAGCCGCTCACACCACATTGGTACCTGTGCTCGGTCATGTCACAGCCGCTCACACCACATTGGTACCTGTGCTCGGTCATGTCACAGCCGCTCACACCACATTGGTACCTGTGCTCGGTCATGTCACAGCCGCTCACACCACATTGGTACCTGTGCTCGGTCATGTCACAGCCGCTCACACCACATTGGTACCTGTGCTCAGTCATGTCACAGCCGCTCACACCACATTGGTACCTGTGCTCAGTCATGTCACAGCCGCTCACACCACATTGGTACCTGTGCTCGGTCATGTCACAGCCGCTCACACCACATTGGTACCTGTGCTCGGTCATGTCACAGCCGCTCACACCACATTGGTACCTGTGCTCGGTCATGTCACAGCCGCTCACACCACATTGGTACCTGTGCTCGGTCATGTCACAGCCGCTCACACCACATTGGTACCTGTGCTCGGTCATGTCACAGCCGCTCACACCACATTGGTACCTGTGCTCGGTCATGTCACAGCCGCTCACACCACATTGGTACCTGTGCTCGGTCATGTCACAGCCGCTCACACCACATTGGTACCTGTGCTCGGTCATGTCACAGCCGCTCACACCACATTGGTACCTGTGCTCAGTCATGTCACAGCCGCTCACACCACATTGGTACCTGTGCTCAGTCATGTCACAGCCGCTCACACCACATTGGTACCTGTGCTCGGTCATGTCACAGCCGCTCACACCACATTGGTACCTGTGCTCGGTCATGTCACAGCCGCTCACACCACATTGGTACCTGTGCTCGGTCATGTCACAGCCGCTCACACCACATTGGTACCTGTGCTCGGTCATGTCACAGCCGCTCACACCACATTGGTACCTGTGCTCGGTCATGTCACAGCCGCTCACACCACATTGGTACCTGTGCTCGGTCATGTCACAGCCGCTCACACCACATTGGTACCTGTGCTCAGTCATGTCACAGCCGCTCACACCACATTGGTACCTGTGCTCAGTCATGTCACAGCCGCTCACACCACATTGGTACCTGTGCTCGGTCATGTCACAGCCGCTCACACCACATTGGTACCTGTGCTCGGTCATGTCACAGCCGCTCACACCACATTGGTACCTGTGCTTGGTCATGTCACAGCCGCTCACACCACATTGGTACCTGTGCTCGGTCATGTCACAGCCGCTCACACCACATTGGTACCTGTGCTCGGTCATGTCACAGCCGCTCACACCACATTGGTACCTGTGCTCGGTCATGTCACAGCCGCTCACACCACATTGGTACCTGTGCTCGGTCATGTCACAGCCGCTCACACCACATTGGTACCTGTGCTCGGTCATGTCACAGCCGCTCACACCACATTGGTACCTGTGCTCGGTCATGTCACAGCCGCTCACACCACATTGGTACCTGTGCTCGGTCATGTCACAGCCGCTCACACCACATTGGTACCTGTGCTCGGTCATGTCACAGCCGCTCACACCACATTGGTACCTGTGCTCGGTCATGTCACAGCCGCTCACACCACATTGGTACCTGTGCTCGGTCATGTCACAGCCGCTCACACCACATTGGTACCTGTGCTCGGTCATGTCACAGCCGCTCACACCACATTGGTACCTGTGCTCGGTCATGTCACAGCCGCTCACACCACATCGGTACCTGTGCTCGGTCATGTCACAGCCGCTCACACCACATCGGTACCTGTGCTCGGTCATGTCACAGCCGCTCACACCACATCGGTACCTGTGCTCGGTCATGTCACAGCCGCTCACACACATTGGTACCTGTGCTCGGTCATGTCACAGCCGCTCACACCACATTGGTACCTGTGCTCGGTCATGTCACAGCGCTCACACCACATTGGTACCTGTGCTCGGTCATGTCACAGCCGCTCACACCACATTGGTACCTGTGCTCGGTCATGTCACAGCCGCTCACACCACATCGGTACCTGTGCTCGGTCATGTCACAGCCGCTCACACCACATCGGTACCTGTGCTCGGTCATGTCACAGCCGCTCACACACATTGGTACCTGTGCTCGGTCATGTCACAGCCGCTCACACCACATTGGTACCTGTGCTCGGTCATGTCACAGCCGCTCACACCACATTGGTACCTGTGCTCGGTCATGTCACAGCCGCTCACACCACATTGGTACCTGTGCTCGGTCATGTCACAGCCGCTCACACCACATTGGTACCTGTGCTCGGTCATGTCACAGCCGCTCACACCACATTGGTACCTGTGCTCGGTCATGTCACAGCCGCTCACACCACATTGGTACCTGTGCTCGGTCATGTCACAGCCGCTCACACCACATTGGTACCTGTGCTCGGTCATGTCACAGCCGCTCACACCACATTGGTACCTGTGCTCGGTCATGTCACAGCCGCTCACACCACATTGGTACCTGTGCTCGGTCATGTCACAGCCGCTCACACCACATTGGTACCTGTGCTCGGTCATGTCACAGCCGCTCACACCACATTGGTACCTGTGCTCGGTCATGTCACAGCCGCTCACACCACATCGGTACCTGTGCTCGGTCATGTCACAGCCGCTCACACCACATCGGTACCTGTGCTCGGTCATGTCACAGCCGCTCACACCACATCGGTACCTGTGCTCGGTCATGTCACAGCCGCTCACACCACATTGGTACCTGTGCTCGGTCATGTCACAGCCGCTCACACCACATTGGTACCTGTGCTCGGTCATGTCACAGCCGCTCACACCACATTGGTACCTGTGCTCGGTCATGTCACAGCCGCTCACACCACATTGGTACCTGTGCTCGGTCATGTCACAGCCGCTCACACCACATTGGTACCTGTGCTCGGTCATGTCACAGCCGCTCACACCACATTGGTACCTGTGCTCGGTCATGTCACAGCCGCTCACACCACATTGGTACCTGTGCTCGGTCATGTCACAGCCGCTCACACCACATTGGTACCTGTGCTCGGTCATGTCTAAAAACAACGTTATTACTGTTATTTTCATCTGCATTATTTTAACCAGTAAGGCTGTTGATACATTAATAACTAAAATAAAATACATCTCAGTCACTCTGACGTAACCACGGCTTTCTGAGAGTCTGTTCAAATCACAAAGAAATCAGTTTTTGCATGCCAAGCTTTCTGAAACGCGTCGGTGCATGTTTTAATCTACAGCCATGAGAAAATAAAGGCGGTTTAAACTTTCTGCACTATTGACCACGAGTGCCTTGGAGTTAAACCCCTCTTCCAATTGAGCTTCTGGTTTTTTAAAAACGCTTGTACCACGCAGCACTCCTTACGCTTTTTGAGAAACACATGGAAATCACGTTTATGTCTTTCTTATGCTACGTGTGTGAATCCTGTGGGGACACATGACAGAAAGTTTAAAAATGATGAAGTGAAATACCTGAGTGTGTAGCGTCTCATCGAGCCCAGGCCTCAGCTGCCGTGCCGCTCATGAGAACACACGTTTATGAATCAATATTTCTAACGCACAGATTCCCGATGCATTAAGATCTCACCTTTTATCCAACATGAGTTTGTGGATGTTTTCTCTCCACTGATATTGCTAATCTGATTTAAGTGATCTTTCTCTATTTAGTCCATTCAAAGTTATATTCTGTCATACGGTTTGACTGTCACGAGATGATGGAGGACTCAAAATGCAGGAATGCCAAAATAATGGTTTAATGAAATAAAAGATCAGGTGAAAACTAAACTCAAAATACAAAATACAAAACCAGGAACAGAACAGATGTAGATAAAACAATGGACCAGCACAAGGGGAGAGGAGCACAGGGTACAAATAGACACAGGTGAAACACATCAGGGCGGGGCAGACAATCAAGACTAAACTAAACTAAAACAACTAAAACTAATTCACAGATAACAGACGTCAAAATAAAACAAAAATACAAACATAAATCCACACCATAACATTGGCCTTTGCAAGTTCATGATCTACAAAAAGTAAATATGAATGTGTAAATCCATCCATCCATTTTCTTCCCCTGAATCCATTTCTGGGTCGGGGGGGTGGCAGTCAGAGCTGCACCCAGTCACAGAGCACCAGCCCCTCACTGATCCTCCTGCAGGTGGTGAGTCCACAGGAGCTGAGATCTTTCAGTGGGGGCTTCAGGAAAAGTGGGGTTAAGTGTCTTGCCCAAGGACACAACGACAGCAGTCATCAGTGGGAGTCATGAAGTAGGTCTTGAGGTGGGCTCGAACCCACGACCTTCAGGCTCAAAGGCCAAGGCTCTACCAACTGAGCTACTGTCGCCCCTACAATGTGTAAATATGTAGTTAATATCTCAGTATTTTTACATCAGTTGCATAATAGTTTGTTTTCAACCACTGGAGGAACCTTAGGAGCATATTTCCAGTAGTTTAATAATGAAATAAACACATTTTACAGTGATTTATGTTCTTCGCCTCAGCTTCAGGATCTTCCCAACAGAGAGAAACATAACTGAAATACAAAAACCCTTGTTCTTGGGGTCTGACCGAGGAGCTGTCGTTCATTAAAGAGGTTTGGATAAAAGGTGTTGTCCTTGAAGATGTCAAAGCTTCTTTATCGTATTTGGAATTCTGTGTTTTCATTATTTTATCAAGCGGCTCACAACACTGCGTAAAACAGCTCCAGGATAACGCCAGAGTCAACATGTTCGTGAGTCGCAGTTAAATGTGTAAAATGGGATTGTTTTAAATGAGCTGTTTAATAAAATGTAAACGGAGCATAGGGCAGGTGTGGGGGGTCAATATGTTTCAGAAAAATTCTAAACGAAATGGAAAAAAATCAGGAATAGTCATAATATCTGAATAATTTCATAATTCAAGTTTATTCTTATTATTTTACTAAATTAATCTCATAACATTTCAGGGACAAAAAAATAAGCATTGTTATTTTTTTGATTTCTTTTTGATTTATACAATAATGAGGATCTACAATGTGTTAACTCACCGTGAGTGTGTGGGGGAGATTAGTTTTTTGAGTTTTAATTTTTGGGTTAACTAATATAATGATAATAATAATGAGATGTAATATTAACATTTTAACTTTTTTCTAAGGTGGAGACCCATTTATGTTCAGCGCTGTAGAAGCCTGGAATCAGATCTGAGCCACATCGTGACCGTCACACTTCACACTGGCATTGATCATAAAGTTATTCAACACTGCTCTGACGACTTATTAAACTTAGAATGGCTTGAATTAACGCAAAAAATTCCTAGCGAGTTAAAGTCAAAAATAATGAATCAGCCCGCCCCCCCCTCGAGAGCCGTCTGCTCCTTTCTCTTCTGATTCATCTGTGTCCTGCTGCATGCATCGTCTCACACAACGCTTGATCCCCACCACGCTCCTCACAAATGGGATTTCCGTCCACTCTAATCCAAATGTTGCATGGGGTAGATAGGAGCCATGGTAGCGTTGGTGTAAAAAAAAAATATATGGATATATATATACACAGCTCCTGGTTGGCTTCCATTATGACTGGGCTCTTTGCAGAACTTGTGTAACTACAGGGAGGAAAGGGCAAATCTGTCAATGAAAAGCGGTACGGTTCCTCTTTCCGAATGCCTCTGAAGGCCTGTTCCTTCAGCTCGTCAGATGTATTTTTAAGCAAAGTCTAAAGCCAACATGAAAATGAGAGCCAGCCTGCCTCTCTGTTGAATCAGTGAGATGTGTTCTTCTACAGCCCCAGGGCGTACAGTCTCTCCGAGCCTCCTCCTCGTTTCTAAATCTACAGCCTTTTAAAACGCACAATTAATCAAAGTTTGAGCAAGAAGACTGTAGAAAGTATTCTTCAGGAGAAAATATGTCTTTTGGTTGAAGACATCAACAACAACCTTTGAATAAGCAGGTTAAATGTAAATAATAATATGCAAATGTGAGGTTTTAACCATGATGATGATACCATTGAAAACAGACCTGGGGTTGTTTCTTGCTCCATCCACGCTGATATCTTGCACATCCGGCACAAACTTGTCCCCACTTCCCTTCTGCCTGAATCTTCCTTTCTCAAACCTGGTGCGTTAGGACGAATCCGTAAAATGTTATGTCATTTACAGAGCCCTTTTCTACCTCTAAAAATGAAATTATTGCCTCCAAATTGGTGAAATTACGATATTTAAAAAACACGATATATTTATCTGTTTGATGTTGACAAAAAACTTTTATTTTACATTATATTCTGTGCTCCTTTCCTTAACCATTAAAAGTTTATCGATATAATACAGCTATTTCTGCAGTAAAATTGGTGCAGATCTAAAGTAAAGTATTCATATTATCCACAGTGTATCATTGAACTAATACATATTAAATGGAAGAAGAAGAAGAAGAAGACATCAGTGGAATTGGTGGAGAGGGTCTCGAGGGGGATCGAACCCACGACCTTCGGCACACCCTCTTTTGTCTTTTTCGCTGACAAACCGTAGAATTACAATGTTATTATTGAAGCTGCAACAGGTCTATACGTTGTTTACTTCAGTCAGATGATCCTAAAACCATGTGTTATTGTTCGTGTCGGCGCTAAATGACAATATTCCGTGTCTACACTTCAGCTTCCTTCTTCCAGCCTGTCTCTCATCCACTTACAGTAAATCCAGGTTGATGAAATTGGGGGTGAAAGGTCCTGCCGGTGGCCACTGATCCCATTACTAAACCTGCAATCCCGGTGCGGAGGTCAACTGGCAGTAGAGGCGATGCCAAGCCAGCGCGTGGATGCCTTTTGTTGCTATGTGTATTTAGGAAACATTCAACAACGCCAATGTCCACCGTGTGCGTGTGTAGGGGAGATTAATGGCCTGTTGAGCACTACATCACACGGAGGCCAGACCACATATTACGCCCAAGCACTTGTGGCTAAAATAACAGCCCCTTCAAGGTAGAGATACGATTTTCTCATTCTGGTGATGGAGTTCACAGGTCGTCCGTTATAGAAACATAAAGATCCAGCGAAGACACATCACCGAGATAGAAGACAAGGCGACAGAGGAGTTAAAGTAAAAAGCTGTATTGAGCAGAAATCAAAGAGTAGACAAAGAGAGAATTAAACAGCGGAATGTCGACAGGGTTCTGCCTCAAACTGGTCATTTGTTTTCTCAATGCTGCACTGAAGTTATAAATCTGTCATGGAGAACCAATGTGAAACTAATGGGAGCCCAGTAACACATAATGGAATGCCTATGGTGATGGGGACAGAGCTACAAACAATGTTGGGGACTGCAGGGGGTACTTGGTTTATTCTGGCAGTCACAACATTTGAAGAAAGTGTAATCGTCCAACTTGCTGATAGCTTCAATCCTAACCAGCCTCGTGCTGCTGAAAGGTTTCCCAGCGACATTGAAGCATGGGTCAAGTCTCCTGTCAGTGGCAGAGGACAAACATTTCCTGTCAGGGCGATAATTTGTAAAAAGCTGAGATTCATTTGTGGTGAAATGCCAGTGGCTTTGAGTTAAACACATAACAATCACAGTTGTACAAGCAGGAGGCTGAACCCGTCTCAGGGACCAGAGGATTGGACTTGGATCTGTGTCCATTCAGCACTGTCTCCATGGTTTGCTCTTGAAGAAGATAAACTGCCTTTTCTCCATAACAATATTCTTCACATCACATGGATAAGTTTGCCCAGCTGTCACACTTTCAATGTTTTGCCGGTGGATTTTCTAGCTTTAAGCACAGCACTCCCTCGACCATTCCCAAAATGAGGTTTTTCACAGTAGAAACAGTTTAACAATATTGCATCATCAAGGTAGGCAGGATTTCTATTTATTCAAATGAGAAGATTATGAGTTTAGGAGCCAAAGGCAATATTGAACCAGTAGGAATGAGGCAGCATGTGTCCAAGACATTCACACGACATCTGTCAACACTCTGCAGAAGTGTCCGGGACAAGAACACAACCACAGCTGAAGGGTCACCACTTCACTCTCAGACAAACCCACAGCTTGGACATCAGAGTTGTCGATGAAAAC